TAAAACGAAGCGAAAAAGGAGAAAATATATAAAAGTTAGCAATTTGTTATAGTACCTACATTAAAAGATTAAAAATTGATTATAAAATCAAACCTATCCTTTATTACTTACCCCAGTATCCTTGAATCAGTTAACATTTAATAACTTACTATGCATAAATATTCATTGGCACAAGTCTAAATTCCAATTCGGTTTAACCCTAGCGCATTCACGCTCCTGCTCAAGGTCACTGACGCTGGAACTCTCACGCACAGAGAGTGTCACCGCTGTGCCTGAACTCAATGCAATCTATTATCACTTTTGTATTACTGTATTTTGGACGGAAACAGTCTGGCATTGTGGCTTGAACAGTATCTTTATTTGGCCAATACCGCGATTAATTAATGATATTAAAATGCATTATGTAGAATCGCTTGGCCATTGACAGACACATCTGATGACAGAGCCTACATTATTTCTACTTTTGACCACCATGAGCGCTGCGATAGATTATGTATGTACTTTGCACCCAGCGATATTTACTAGATTTTATTGTTACTAGATTGACCAAAACATGAATCAACTGATCCATCGTTAATATAAACTGGTGTCGATTCTGGCACGATTCTCTAAATTAAACTTAAACTTGACAACAGTGTTTCGTTGTCATTCTCTATACAGAATGAAAAAGAGAGACTGATGTTAAATTTAGTTTTAAGTTTAGAGAATCACGCCAGAATCGACACCATTGTTTACCTACTTCTTTATTTACTAATTATTTATGAAGGCAGTTAACAGCATCTTGAGGTAACAATAATTGGCAAAGACACACGACAACACAATAAATAATAGGTAAAAAAAGTGGAAATAACAAGATTGACATGCCAAGATCCATAGATATTTATATATCGAAGGCTCTTTACTAGTCGATGTATGTCTACTGATCATCCGTAGATAAATATCTATTGCGACATGGTGAGAATAGGGCAAAAAGGTTTTCCTTCGATATAAAAGCCAGATCATTCGATATATATCGAAGGTGATATAATATCTATGCCGCGAGAATTGGGCCCCCCAGGCTTGCCCCAGCAAAGGTTTCCCGCCTTTTTTCTCAAACTATCAATAGTGGCAACATGGCGACAGGTTAACCACAGGCTATAAAAAGATATCAGCGACGCTAGCGCCAAAACTAAGAAAATGGAACTAAAGCTGTCAAGCCCCTGATTGAAGGCTCTGAATAAGGAAACCTATGGAACTGCCATACCTACGAAAAAAACGTGCATACCTACGCAGCTAAACATGGCGGCTTAGTGTTGTATACTACCACGATGGTATTTAACACTTATCGATTGCGCCATATCTATCGATAAAACTTAATATATTATATTTATACGTTCAGCATCTAATTATCTTTAATTCTCTAATTTGATTAACTTACACTTTTCCGACTTTATTGTTAATATTTATTAAAATCACGCTGATTTTTTTTATAATTTTCATGATTAGGTACTGATAGTATAAAATATAGTAAGATCCTCCGCATATAGCGAAAAGTAAATTATGCCAAGAATATTAATGAAAAGAACAAAAAGAAAAGAATTCGCTTTTAAGTATCGTATTATTTTAATATATTAGCTTTTTATGTGCAGTTCGTTACCTCCTTTTTAGTAAAGGAAAACATTGTAAGAAAATCAGCAAGTATAGAGATTGAATACTAGCAATATTTCAAAATCAATTCGGTTAACGCGGGGATTATATTCAATACCACTAGTAAGGTGGTAGGGTTCGCCAGTACCCATGATGTACGCGTTGTGAGGAATCAAAGAAATGATAGGCAGGAATCCAGTACCTATAAATAGTTTTACAGAAACGCATTATACAGACTATTTAACACGATGACGTATATCAGAATAGAAAAAAAGAGATAAAATAGGTAGGTATTAAAATAAGTAGGTGTTATAAGTATAAAAATCTGTATTTATTTATTTACATTCATCAGTTTAACATTATTCATTTCTAAAAAGAACAATTTTGTTTAAGTAATTTCTAAACGAAATGTTTTCCGTACTTTTCCTTCCAAAATATCTAAACCTTATATCAATATATGTTTTAATTACACTCTTTATTAATAAATATTTATGATTGGCATCATGATCACTCGAAGCGGTCTCAAAACCTTGATTATTTTCGCCATAATTTTCGATGAGTAAAGAAAAAATATACAAATAATATTTCTCAAAATTTGTTTTCTTAAAATTAAATTTTATTTTTTTTCTGTCTTTTTACAAACATCCTCAACGTCTTTAGACGGATTCACGAGGCCACCTCGATTTTTATATGCTATCAATGACTGCTTTCACATCGCCAAATAACATTGACACACGAGTTACACATTTTATGGTGCGGGATAATTTTCTGGCTACAAAGCCTGCGATGTACGTCACAACACTTTCTGCATATTTTGTGACATTATTATTAAGGCAGTCTAGGTATTCGAAGGTACTGCATCATCTTTTAACCTTATAACATCCAATGTCTTGTTAAATGAGTTTGGATGAAAATGTAAAAAACATATGATTTACATATGTTACATATGATCATTACCGATCATCAACGTGTATATCATTTAATTATGCACAATTTTGTTCTTAAACTTTTTTCTGTAACTTCAATACCTTCGGAGTTATATATTATTTTACCGAGCGAAATCCACGCCACTGTCGCAGTATAAAAGGGTAAATCGATTAAACTATTTAAAAATTGGGTATTTAATTTGGGTAAATTTATGGGTTTGTTTGGGTAACAAGTAAATTAACAATTAAAACTGTTTCACACATTTATTGATACAAAAAATAGGTTATAAAATTCGGAAAATTAAGCACCCGAGGTCGAATAACTCCGAAGGTATTGAAGTTACAGAAAAAAGTTTAAGAACAAAATTGTGCATAATTAAAAGATATACACGTTGATGATCGGTAAAATTCAATAAAATTGAATGTTTGGGGAGAAAACGACGAAAAATAGGGGAAAAAATGAAATTTTTGCCTTGCGGGAGTAATAACTTAAAAAATATTGATGTTACAAAAAAAAGTTTTAAATAAAAAAGTTAATAAATTTCATTTAGAAGAAAAAAGGTCTCTATAATTTTTTGGCTAACACTGATATTTCTCGAGATATCGAATTAAACGCGTTTGTATCGAAATGACCTTGAGCTGACCTCAGTACAGCCCCTCAAATTGGAACTTAAGCTCAGGATGCACCCCCCTATCGATCCTCAAAATCCCCAAACTGTGCTCGCTCATGTTTTTTTAGCCCTTTTTTTTCCGTAATTTGACTGGACTAATTGTGACTCCGCCCTGTCCTTGAAAATAAATGCCTACACCGAACGCTGCGTTGGCACGCGGTAGGGCCGCCAGCCTACAGTATTTTATGTAGTTTTGTTTTTAACGCGAGTGTAGGTAGATTACTCGTTTGTCTCTTTTTTCATCCTAACCACTTATTTATATATTATTCCAGATATTTTGCCCGATGGAAAAACCGAAATACCTAAATATTAGAAACAAATAACGTACTAGTAGATAGGTATATAAAAAAAATTCTATAAAGGTAAGACACCTTTCCAATATTTCAGGTAATTTAAAAAATGATATCTCTGGGTGTGTTATTGAAGAGTTCAAGCAACCAAAAACAGCAATTGTGCTGTTGTACGATATTGATCGTTGTTTGTTCTTTTCCATACTAAATTATGTAGGTATCTACTTAATTAAATCAAATATTTACAATACAAAACGCATGTTTAAGCACGGCTAACTGCATAAAAAACAATTCAGACCGTTCGGTCGTCGTTGCGGCGCGGCGGCGCATTCGCGACTGGGTGCACGCCGAGAGCACATCGAACTCGAGTGGCGTAGGCATGACTCGCTTTCCGACCGTTTGTATGAAGATAGAATACTGTATGATATTATTACCGTGACGGAGTCAATGTTTACACCACAGGTACTTAGGTAGCGGCACAATATGGCGGACAAGGCACACGTCTCACGTCACGTAAAATGTTGCCAACGTAGCGAAACTGTTTTGTATAGAGTTGGACTGCTCTCATTCCATACTTTAGACAAAGACGCCATTATGTTAATTTTTTCGTCTTCCAAAATTATACATAACTAAAAAAACTATATGTCATTGCAACAGTTCCATTGGATTCCTTATTCAGAGATTGAAGGCCCTGCCCTGCTATTTAAGTAGCAATTGGGGATGTAGAAAGTAGAAAAAAATAACGATATATCGATACATCGATATATATTTTAAAAAATATCAATATCGGCTTCGATATATCGCGAAAAAAACATCGATATATCGATATATCGGACCAATTTTCCCAAAAATATATTTAGATCCGCCTAGCACAGTAATAATAACAATACAAATTATAATTAAAGAAAGAATTATCAAAGTACCAAATTGCCGTTACACTACATGACAGTACAGTATCTCACGAAAGATGACACGTGGAATAATAATGGAACGAAAATTATCTACCTAAAATAGACCCTATTTTCGAATGATGAAAATGATTGCAGGACCTCTCAGGTGCCATCTTTCGTAAACAAGACTAGACAGTCGCACATTTCTACAGAATATAATGGAATTCAGCACAACCAATTCACCAGCGAAACAGATTTACAAATCATAGACCGTACTAAATACAGCACAGATCATAGATAAGTTGAATATCTTTATCTATCTGAGATCCAGTTACGATTTTTCCAGATACGAATTAAGTTGGATCGTGATATGCCGCTAATATTTAAAAAAATATCGATTTTGATACGAATTTCGATATTGGTTATTTTGTATCGATGTATCGATATATCGAATCAAAATATATCGGCTAAAAATATCGATATATCGAACAAAAAATATCGATACATTTTCAACAAGCCTAGTAGCAATGTAGTTTAATTCAAAAGTTGTGATAAAACTTGTTGCGAAGTTCAAAGTTCAAATTTAAAGATTACAGTTAGTATGAATAGTACTTGACTCTAACTTGTTTATTTTATTGAAAGCTTCTCTTTCCCGCTGATTGTTTAATTCTGTTGTGTTCAGTTAGTGTTCGGTCTGTTTCATCGGAAAGATCACTTGCACTGTCGTAAATTGCCGATAATATAATGGCCAATGTGATCTTGCTGCAATCACCGCCACCCAAATTAGAAGAAATTCAAAAAACCATATTTAGCAAAGGTGCTAATGACTTTTTAGAAAGTCTACATAAGAAATTCAGTGGGAATATTGAGAAACTATATACAAATAGATTACGGCGTAGTGTGGAAATAAAGTTGAAATGTACTTTAACTTTCGGAAATTCTCCTGAGCGAAATGACAAAGCCTGGAGCATAGCACCTTTGCCTTCCCGACTCTTGTAAGTGTTACATACAACTCAATTTTAAACACGTACACTGTTTACTTGCTCTATTAAATCATCATAAATGTTGAACAACACAAAGCAGCTTGTAGGATCGAAATTAAAATAATTAACTACATTACGAATTAAAAAACATGCATGACTCTTAGAACAAGGCCTTCAGTTGTGGACTACCAATGTAATGGAGTAGTATTTGCACTGTCTTACAAGGTGTTGTTTATTTTGGGGTTAGGTTAGTTGGTGTGAGTGTTTGAGATATTTGTACCTCACACCCTTGTGCATTATGTACACTAAACTGTATTCAAATAAGTTGTATTGATTGATTCACATTGCAAGAAATATGAGTTGTTTTGTTTGAGTGGTTTATTTGGATTGTTCTATCTAGGAGTGTATTTGATCAAAGTTATTTCTCTTCAGAAATCGGCACTTGGACCTTGGTGATGTATCTGCTTCGAACACTGCACATTTTGTATCAGCTTTAAATGAGAATGTACAAGGTGTTCAGGTTGACTTTGATGATGGTCACTGCCCGACATGGAAGAATCAGTTGTTGGCATACCAAAACATAAATCTAGCTGTCAATGGAAAACTACTGGGGGCTCCAGTTAATATAGCGATGTGTCCAATTCTAATGCTAAGACCCCGAGCATGGAATATGATTGAACACAACATTTTGGTAAATATTTTCAACAATTTGATGATAAGAAAAATATGTTATTATGGCAAAATCGCTGTCTTAAACTTCTAGATTCATTATTATTTTTATTAGATTATATTTGGAGCACACACATACATTACAATAATAAGAAACATTTGGGTTAATGGGTAGAACTTATTACTGGGCACTAGGACTATCTTTTTCCTCTGCAATTGTATTCCTACCAGTGGTAGGCTACCGCCTTATTCCAAAACGCGTACTAAAGTTAGACTTGGTTTAAACCTAATGCAGTCTTTGTCTTCTATTTAACAAAAAAAATATGAGATCAGTTTAAAACCAGATAAAACATGTTTTGTAATAAGGCGGCTAGTGAGTAGGGGTCCACTATGAGAGAATGACCTCCTTTAGGAATTAAATATTAAATAATATAGAATATGTCCTTCCTGGATCACCAAAATATTATGATTTAACCAAAAAACAAATAAAAATCTAGTTAATTTATATGCAGTAGAAGTAGGAGCAAGAGGTATACCAGCAAAATCTAATATATAAAATTCTCGTGTCGCGGTGTTTGTGGTTAAACTCCTCCGAAACGGCTTTCCCGATTCTCATGAAATTTTGTGTGCATATTGGGTAGGTCTGAGAATCGGACAACATCTATTTTTCATCCCCCTAAATGATGTTCGTTCTCTGACGTTCTCTGATGATGAGGACGTAGAAGAGTCGGTCACATTTATCAGAAAATGGTCTACAGTTTTGTCTATAGCATGATCAACACCGTTTAATTTTGTTTCCTCCTTGATTACGTGATCATCACAGTTTTTCCACTTTGTTTCATCAATTTTATTAAGACCTTCTTCTAGCAACCGTTTGACATCTGTCATTTTAAAAGTGGTATTATTTTGAGCCACGTAACCTTTAACATCGGCCCACACAAGCTCAATTGGATTAAGCTCGCAGTGGTATGGCGGCAACCGTAGTATTTCTGTACCCCTCTGTTTTGCCATTTCGTCGGTAACGTACGACATATACCTCTCTTTAACAGCTTTAACTTTTGCCAGTAATTCGACTTTTGTTTCCTTTTCGTCGAATAAAATTTCTTTTGAAGCAAGCCATTCTTTTATGTTTTGTTTTTTCCAACTTGTGACGGGCAATTGTTCTTGGCGTCTGGAATGGTAAGTAGCGTTGTCCATCACGATGACAGCGTTTGCATCGACTTTTTCGAGGACATTTTTAAACCAATTTTCAAAACCTTCGGCGTTCATAGTTTCGTGGTAATCTCCTGTTGCTTTATTTTCAAACACCCACTGACTTCCCGGCCGAAAACTCTTTTCGTTTCCTATGTGGACAACAATCAAGCGATTTCCTTTTGATGTTGGATTTTTTGCTCCTGTTGATAAACCTTCCAAAAAAGCTTGTTTTACTGATTTCACCGTCGTATCCTCCCAAGCTTTACTAACAGTGTGACCTGAAAAATAATATAAGGCTCATTATTTTTGGTCTTGCATCTTTAAAAAACTAACAATTTAAGTATAACTAACGTGACTATACGTCCCGTTTTGAGTCGGAACACCCCCGCTTTAAGGCTGTCTGTTATTTTTTTTAGGTTTAGTTTTTCAACGCGTTTATAACAAGCCATTACACCATCTAATTCATTTTTAATAAATTCTATAGGACTCACCTGCATTAACCCATGTTTCATCTAAATAATATATAGGTCGTCCTTCTTCTCTGATTTTTTTAATTTTTTTGAGGTACTTAATGCGCCATAAAACTATGTCGTGTTTTTCAATGAGGGCTACCGCGTATGAATCCGCCGCTAGAGGCGCTAGTGTAGCGTGAGGTCTCCGAAATGTCAAATGTTATTGCTTGTTGGTTGACTACGCGGGTTTATTTCTAATTAAAATAATGTTGTGAATAATTGGTAACAATTCGGCTTAATTATGGCAAATATGAGTTATGTGGCAATGAATGTTAGTTTTTAAAAATTTGAGCTTAGAAAAATGACTATGTTCCCATTTTTTCCGAATAAAACGGAACTGCGCGTCACTGTGGCATGGCCTATTATGTTTAGGATATGGTTCTTTTGTGTTAAAATACGATCTAAATGTAACCTTTGATTTCATGTGCGTATTAATAAACTTTAAAAGTTACAATTTAGGACCTCACTCAACAGTGGCGCCATCTGGTGAGACAGAAAACGGTAGCCCTCATTAAGGCGCTGTTTCTTTTCTTTTTACCCGGCTGCGCAATGCAAGAGCGCGAAGCGCGACGCGCAGACAGGGTTATTAATGTATTTAAACTTTAAGGCTTTTAACAGGCGCCACAGCGATGTACGGCTGAAATTAGGTAACATGTCGTCTGAATTGACAGCCTGTAATATTTTATTTAATGTTGGCATCTCTCCTTTTAAATAAAATTCGTGCACTATTTTTCTAATGCACGACTTGTCAAAGTCATCAACACTCTCAACCAAATTAGGACGCCATTTTGGAGAGGCAGGTGGCTTCACTATATCGGTTTCTTTATATTCCCGTAAAACGCTGTAGACGGAAGTTTTTCCAATGCCTAAAATATCCTCCGTCTTCTTTTTCATATCCATTTTGGATGGATATTTGTCACTAGGCCACGTTTCTTTTACATATTTAAAAACATTGATAATCATAATTTTTTCGTTTTCCGAAATATGCGACATCTTACGCTTCTTTCGTGGTGACAGAAAACTTTTAAACGGTTTTGATGTCGCCGGGCCGGCTCCATATCGCTTGAAAAACGATATTCGTTGTAATACAAAACCACTATAACAAAAAAACTTAACACAAATTGTAACAAACAAAATTAACATAAACTTAACACAAAACCTAACAAACTAAATTAACAATAACAAAATTAATAACAAATGATCGAAATTAAAGGAACGATAAACAAAACCAACCACATGCGAGCGCATTCCAAAGCGGAATGCGTGTTGCTCCGCTCCCTCCACAACCCGCGTCCACGCAAATCCCAAACAGGGGCCCAATTCTCGCGGCATAGATATTATATCACCTTCGATATATATCGAATGATCTGGCTTTTCTCGAAGGAAAACCTTTTTGCCCTATTCTCACCATGTCGCAATAGATATTTATCTACGGATGATCAGTAGACATACATCGACTGGTAAAGAGCCTTCGATATATAAATATCTATGGATCTTGGCATGTCAATCTTGTTATTTCCACTTTTTTTACCTATTATTTGTTGTGTTGTCGTGTGTCATTGCCAATTATTGTTACCTCAAGATGTTGTTAACTGCCTTCATAAATAATTAGGAAATAAAGAAGTAGGTAAACAATGGTGTCGATTCTAGCGTAATTCTCTAAACTTAAAACTAAATTTAACATTAATCTTTCCTTTTCATTCCGTATAGAGAATGACAAGGATACGCTGTTGTCAAATTTAAGATTAGGTTTAGAGAATCGTGCCAGAATCGGCACCACTGTTGTCAAGTTTAAGTTTAGATTTAGAGAATCGTGCCAGAATCAACACCAGTTTATATTAACGATGGATCAGTTGATTCATGTTTTCGTCAATGATTTAATAAATGACGTGATTGCTGCTGCTGTGCTAAGGCGCCGCCGTCGTGAGAGCAAGAGGGCCCATTTGAAATGAGGGACGCCGACTTCATAAAAAAATTACGTTTAAACAAAAATTTGGTTAGAAATCTTTAAAGTTATGAATGACATTGGTATCGATTCTGACACGAGTCTCTAAACTTAAAACTAAATTTAACTTCAGTCTCTCCTTTTCATTCTGTATGGAGAATGACAAGGATACACTGGTGCCAATTCTGGCGTGATTCTCTAAACTTAAAACTAAATTTGACATCAGTCTCTCCTTTTCATTCTGTATAGAGAATGACAAGGATATACTGCTGTCAAATTTAAGTTTAGATTTAGAGAATCATGCTAGAATCGACACCACTGTTGTCAAATTTACGTTTAGGTTTAGAGAATCATGCCAGAATCGACACCATTTTCTTATTGACGATACGGAGTTTTTGCGGGATTTCTTTCTTTAATTATTCTAAAATTCGTTCATAGTGGATATTGTGAAATGAAATTGGTGTGATTTGGTGTTACAACCGTCTGCGCAACTGAAGAATTAGTGGAATCTTTAAAATATACGCTATTTCGGTCAAGTGGACGCGAGAACTGTATTGTAGTGTTACCTACTCACAGAAGCTTAGAGAAAAAGCCAACTCCATAAATTTCGTGCCAAACACTCCAAGAAACATTAGAATGCGTCACACCGACATTTGAATCTAAAAAAAAGAAGATTAATATAACTAAAGACTAGGCTTTATGGGCATTGTTCCCTTTGCCTTCCCTGAAAAGGGAGAATCTTAAATAATATTGACGTTTCATTATACATAACGTTGAAGTTATATACGCATACAATTTAGGTAAAGTTGAGATTTCTTATACTCAAAAAATGTATACTCATATTTAATATGAATGGAATTCATAAAATATCGTTTTGTTGCTTGTAAAATTCTGCTCTAATTTATTATTATTTTATATAGACTATGATGTTAACTTAATCGAGAAAAACGGAACGCATTCGTCAGAGAATGAATATCTACGATAGATATAATATCATTGGAATATCGAAAATCCACGAGAATAGCATTTTTTACCATCAGTAGATATTTTCAATAGATATCCCTCCTTTCGATATTATCTCGAAGCCGATATAATATCTATGCCGCGAGAATTGGGCCCCTGGCGTGATTCTCTAAACTTCTTCTTTTTCTTTTTTTTATGGCATGCACGGTTTGTGCGTTCAGCTTCTCTAAACTTAATCCTAACAAGGAAACACTGTTGTCAAGTTTAAGTTTAGATTTAGAGAATCGTGCCAGAATCGACACCGGTTTATAATAACGATGGATGAGTTGATTCATGTTTTCGTCAATGATTTAGTAAATGACGTGATTGCTGCTGCTGTGCTAAGGCGCCGCTGTTGTGAGAGCAAGAGGGCCCACTTGAAATGAGGGACGCCGACTTCATAAAAAAATTACGTTTAAACAAAAATTTGGTTAGAAATCTATAAAGTTATGAATGACATTGGTATCGATTCTGACACGATTCTCTAAACTTAAAACTAAATTTAACATCAGTCTCTCCTTTTCATTCTGTATGGAGAATGACAAGGATACACTGTTGTCAAATTTACGTTTAGGTTTAGAGAATCATGCCAGAATCGACACCATTTTCTTATTGACGATACGGAGTTTTTGGCGGGATTTCTGCGAGTGCGGTTGGCGTCTTATTTTAATTATTCTAAAATTCGTTCATAGTGGATATTGTGAAATAAAATTGGTGTGATTTGGTGTTACAACCGTCTGCGCAACTGAAGAATTAGTGGAATCTTTAATATATACGCTATTCCGGTCAAGTGGACGCGAGAATTTTATTGTAGTGTTGACTACCTCACAGAAGCTTTGAGAAAAAGCCAACTCCATAAATTTCGTGCCAAACTCCAAGAAACATTAGAATGCGTCACACCGACATTCTAATGTATAAAAAGAAGATTAATATAACTAAAGACTAGGCTGTATGGGCATTGTTCCCTTTGCCTTCCCTAAAAAGGGAGAATCTTAAATAATATTGACGTTTCATTATACATAACGTTGAAATTATACACGCATACAATTTAGGTAAAGTTAAGATTTCTTAAACTCAAAAAATGTATACTCATATTTAATATGAATGGAATTCATAAAATATCATTTTGTTGCTTGTAAAATTCTGCTCTAATTTATTATTATTTTATATAGACTATGATGTTAACTTAATCGAGAAAAACGGAACGCATTCGGCAGTGACAGAATATCTACGATAGATATAATATCATTGGAATATCGAAAATCCACGAGAATAGCATTTTTTACCATCAGTAGATATTTTCAATAGATATCCCTCCTTTCGATATTATCTCGAAGCCGATATAATATCTACGCCGCGAGAATTGGGCCCCAGGTTTTTAAACTCTGAACGACCGCGTCGCTCAACTCACCCCGTACCACGAAACACGGTACGATGCTTGAGCGACACAGAAATATATGACGAGCGATACGCATCGTTTTCTGTCGACAGTAACATAATACTTCGGGCCAATGCCCTTTTTTCCGCCTGCTTTTGAAACAGACTATAGTCTAATATATAAAATTCTCGTGTCGCGGTGTTTGTGGATAAACTCCTCCGAAACGGCTTTCCCGATTCTCATGAAATTTTGTGAGCATATTGGGTAGGTCTGAGGATCGGACAACATCTATTTTTCATCCCCCTAAATGTTAAAGGTAATCCATCCCTAATTTTTTTTTTCTATTAGTTTTTTTTTTTGAATTTTTTTATGATACATCATACAAAAATACATACATCCCTAAATTTTCAACTTTCTACCATCAACCCCTATTTTTGTATGGCGGTACGAAGTTCACTGGGTCAGCTAGTCTCTCTATAACCTTTCAAAAGACCTCAAGCCTGTACCGTCCAAGTCACGGGAAATATCTCAGTTTCTCTCTTTCCCAAACAATAGACTTGCATGGTGGATGCTAATTGTTTGAATTGTAAAAGTTCATCTCTGTAATATAGAACAAATGTAATGTAAAATGATAGTACCATATTTTAAATATATTACACAATTGTATTTGTAGATCAATGGCGAGGAAGCAATTGGAGCACTTGTTGATTTTGGTATATTGATGTATCACAATGCAAGGCAGCTACAGGAGGCAAACAGTGGCCCATACTTTTATCTGTCCAAGCTGGAAGGAGCATCGGAGGCGAAACTGTGGAATGATATATTTGTGTGGTCACAACTCCAGCTAGGTTTGCCACAGGGAACAATAAAAGCGTGTGTGCTGATCGAGAACATAGTGTCCACTTTCGAGTTAGATGAGATATTGTATGCATTGAGGGAACATTCTTTGGGACTGAACTGTGGCATTTGGGACTACTGCGCTTCGATTGTCACAAAGTTTGGTAGGTATTTCATTTTTTATCTTCATATACAATTTTAATGATTTGACAAGTTTTAATGTGTCCGCGTGGAATTTTTTCTAGTGCTATTTTCTATAGATGCACGTTTAACATGCACTTGAAAACATTAAACATGCTTGAAAAATAAAAACTATAAGTTTTAACGTAATTTTCAGTGCCTATATTAATCTCGCAACTCGGTAGGAACCGTTTGAAATTCGGTTGCATGTTAGGACTGATGCCTTACCAAGCATTACTTTTTCAGGGCATAACAAAGAGTTCCTACTACCTGATAGGAACAAATATGTTAACATGGAGCGTGATTTCTTGAATAACTACATGCTTTTAGTGATTAAGACGTGCCACGACCGCGGAGCACCAGCCACGGGTGGAATGGCAGCCGCCATGTTGAAACCTGGCAGTGACGGAACGGATAACGAGTAAGTTGCACTGGGAGTAAAAGAATATTTATTATATATTTATATTTCCAACACTCACACCAATTAGCCTAGCCCCAAAGTAAGTACTGTAAGGCTTGTGTTATGGGATACTATGGTAACGGATAGAATACATATACTGTACATATACAGGGTGAAATTGAATGTTTCTATGAAACTTCGTGAGATTATTGGGTTACGTGTATAGAGTATGCATGATTTTTTTCGGATTTTTTTATTTTATTTATTTTTATTTTATTTAATCTTTATTGCCTTTACAATGCAAATGGCGGACTTAATGCCAGTATGGCATTCTCTACCAGTCAACCGGAAAGAAGGTGCAGAGAAAATAAAACGGCAGACAACGAACAGAGAAAACATTAAAAAGCATTAATCACTTATACATACATACATAAATATACATTCTAGCAACATATATAATAGGTACACACAAATATATACATACATAAATACATATCTAATAATAATATACAGTGTCTGATTATAGTATCCTAATTTAAATTCAAGCATTTTGCGATAAATTTAAATAATGTTTCCGCGCCAAAGCCCTAAACGCATTCCTGTTTGGGGCATTACGCACGTGTAAAGGAAGTGCATTCCAGAGCCGGATGGCAGAAAGGGTGTACGAGCTGGAGACAAACCCAGTATGGTGAATGGGTACTTCAAGTATTAAATTATCATTGGAACGGAGATTTAATTCATGGGAAGACCCCAGGAACTGAAACCGAGATTTCAGATATCCAGGGGTGCGTGGATCGTATAGTAAATTGAAAAGGGTAAGAACTGTCCTTAAGCACCTACGCTCCCGAATAGGTAGCCACTTAAGTCTATTGCGGAACTCTGAAATGTGGTCGTATTTACGTAAACCAAAGACGAAACGAATAGTGTTATTGAGAAGACGATCCAATTTAGTAAGAAATAGTTGATTTATATCAGTAAAACAAACATCAGCATAATCAAAGAGAGGGTGAACAAGGGATTGTACAAGAGAGATTTTAGTACACGGAGGGAGAAAATTCTTGAGGTGATAAAGCGAACCAAGTGTTCCATTTACCTTGCGACATATGTTCTCTATTTGGCCATCCCAACTAAGTGTGTTATCAATTACGAGGCCAAGATTTTTTACTTTCGTAGAATAGGGGATCACTACATCGTTGAACTTAATGGCTGGAACTGTGTTCAAATGAAGCCGTGAAATTTGTCGAGAACTGCCAATAATGATCGCCTGACATTTGACGGGGTTGATGGTAATCCCAAAGTTATGAGACCACTCACGTATACGAGAGAGGTTTTGGTTGAGTAAACAGACTGCCCTCTCCAGGTTTGGTAGGGTGTCTTGCGTATACAGCTGAAGGTCGTCTGCATAAAGATGATAAGAGGTAGAAAGAACGGAAGTAAGGGAGTTAATAAATAAGGAGAAAAAGAGAGGAGAGATCACGCCTCCCTGAGGTACCCCAGCAGATAAGTCGGACCAGTCAGAGATCGATTGATCAATTCTAACGGCTTGTTGCCGCCCCCGGAGATAGGAACCGAACCAGTTCAGCGCATTGGAGGAACACCCAAGTTGAGCAAGAAGCGCAAGAAGGATATCGTGATCAACTGCATTAAATGCGTTTGAAAAATCCAGTAGTACTAAAACAGTCAACCGCGACTCCTCCATGCCATCGCGTATGTCCTCAACAATTTTCATAAGCGCCGTAGTGGTACTATGCCCAGGGCGGAACCCAGATTGGAAGTTAGATAGAAGGCAGTTGCGATAAACGTATGAAGAAAGTTGATTATAAACTGCAGCTTCGAGAATTTTAGAAAGGTAAGGTAAAATGGAGATAGATCTAAAATGATCGAGAGAGCTAGGGTTTGAAATTTTGGGGAGAGGAATGGAAAATGCCTTACGCCAAACAGTAGGAAATGAACCAGAAGACAGGGATTTGTTCATGATGAAAGTTAACGTAGGAAGTAGAGAGTCCAATAACAATATAAACATGTTTCTATTGATATTATCGAATCCTATAGCCTTAGACTTAATGGACAGTGCTAACTTTCGGACATCATGTTCGGTCAGTGGGCTAAAGGAGAAAATGAAATTAGAAGGAGTGGCCGTGGAAGAAAGTTTGGAAATCGTAAGAAATTTAACAGTGTCAGAAAGTTTGTTCTCGCGCGAAAAATGACGATTAAAATCGTTTAAAGAAAAAGGAGATAAAAATCGAGTTCGTGTTTTGCCAATACCAATTAAATTAAGGAACTTCCACATTTCGGCTGGAGAGGAATTAGTAGCATTCTGATGAATATAATGACGTTTCGCACCTCTTATCATCTGGTTGCACCGATTTCTTGCTCTCTTGAAAGCCTCCCAGTTGACATCAGAGCGGCATCGTTTAAAAATACGAAAGGCCTTATTACGTCTTCTCATGGCTATGCGCACCAAAGGAGTGATCCAGGGAGCAGGTGGTCGTCGTAGCTTGACAGATTTAACGGGAGCATGATGATCAAATAATTTTATTATTGCTGCATTAAAGGTGGTGATCATATCATTAACAGATGCCTCGCCATACAGAGGCGACCAATCAATGGCATTCGCTTCAATTACAAGCTTCTCAACGTTCAGCTTCGCGAAATTTCTCATACGTATCATAGTCGGCTTAGCTTTAGGGGGTTTTACTTTGAGCGTCAAAAAAATCAGATCATGTTTTGAAAACCCAGGCGCTGACAGCTGACCATGTTTCGTGACCAGGTCTGGAGAGGAAGTTACGATATGGTCGATCCATGAGTCGTCAGTAACGATATTATGATGAGTCGGACCAAGAGGTAAAATAGTGAAGTTCGCAGACTCAAATATTGATCGGAAGCTACGTGAGGAATGAGTATCTTTTAAAAGATCCGTGTTAAAGTCACCCATGATTATGTGATGTCTGTAATCTGAGGAGATGTCGTCAATCAGAGTCTCAAGCTCTGTTAGGAAAGGAACAGAAGGGGGGCAGTAAATAACACCTAGAAGTACTTTAGTATGTTTGACATCAATTTCTAGAAATAAGTATTCCATGCAATCGAAGCGGGAAGAAGAGGAAGTTAAAATCTTATAAGGCATAGACTGAGTTAAATAAATGGCAACTCCCCCGCCACCTTTACCAATTCTGTCATTTCGAATGAGCGTGAAACCTGGTACGTCAACAGATGCTGAACTCAAACAGGGCTTCAGCCAGCTTTCTGAAATCAGAACGGCATGGACAACTGAATTAGACTTAAAAGTGTTCAAAAGTTCGGTGTAATGACAAGGAACACTCTGTGCGTTGATGTGGCAGACATTCAAAGTTACGGTGCCACTGAATTCTTTAGCCATGAGTGCGCCCAAATCATCAGGATCATCGGACGACCGGTCGCTAAGGGAACAAAAAGACGAGGTACCATCCTCTGCTGAACCATATTCACTACTATCAGACATATTATAATAAGTTCACGAAACAAAATAATATATTAAATAAATACAATTAAAAAATATGTATATATATATATCTATGAATAAATAATAAAAAATATATCAAGATATATAAATTGATTGAATAAACTGCTATTTTTAAGACCTGCATTTCCTGCCGATTGATGGTTTACAGTAGTGTGACACGTTAAAAACAAAACTGATTAAGAAATATATAAACCTAAACATACACTCGAACACAATATTTTTAATTAATTAAACACACTAGAAAAACTGTGGTCTTTCTTACAGACAACAGCAGTGTGCGCAGCTTCACTACCACCCTTACATCATGACCACACTACACTTCATTAATTCTGAAAGAACTTAAAACATGGCAGTATAGCATAAGGTCTTTGCGTACTTAATATAGCAAATAATTACTTGAGCCACGTTCAAAACCCACGCTCCAGATGCTTTAAATGTTAATATGTGAAATAAGGTTCGAAGTTATAAAATTAAAACGTTCGGCAGGGTAAAAAAAAAAAATGCGCTCGGAACGTAGGTTCGGAACGCACCCTGAGATGACATGCATGACATTCACATGTGTCATTGTCACTGTTAGTGTCAGTGCCAATCAACATAACAAATCAAAATACAAATAAAGATTACCTTACAATGTGTGATGGATAAAAATTAAGTAAGTTAATCTAGCAGTGATAGCGAAGCTACCCACTAAACAAGCAATTCAGCTAATGATACAATGCAAGAGCAACGAGTATAATAAAAGAAGGGAATTCGAACAGTAACAACAAAAGAAAATAAATGGACAACACAGTAGATGGAAACCACATACCAAAACTCACTTTTTGACAATTTTTACAATACGCTTAGGCCGAGTATGCGTCTGCACAGGCTGGGATATCGCTGGCTCCACGGCGGGCTCACTGGTCACCGCAACATCCGCAATCTCAGTACAGGGAAACTGGTTCATTGCAGCAGTCAGTTCATCAGTGCAGGAGATCCGTAGACGGTTGCCTTTCGGTGTCTTAATGTAAACGCTGCCATCCATTGACCACACACTGGAGACTCCGAAGTGATTTCGCGCAGAGTGGAACAGGGATTGTCGATTCTTAGTAAGAAATTCTCTCAAAACAAGTGAAGAGCCTTTGAGCTTGCTCTTGCTTTTCCACACAGTGGACCGAAGGGCATAGTTGGTAAAACGAATCACCACAGGCCTGTTACGGCCCTCAGTTACAGACCCGAGCCGATGACAAAGTTTTATAGCACTTGTTTCAAGGTGCGTGATACCAAGGTGTTTTTGGAGCAAAGTTATAACTGTTGAGTTCAAGTCCTCTTCAGAGTTTTCTGGAACACCACAAAGAAGAAGATGTTTGCTTCGATGCCTTGCTTCGTGCTGGTCGAGAAATTTTAAAATGTCACTAATCTGTTGCCTAAGAAGTGACAAGATACTCCAGACGAGTTCCTTGAACGCCTTAAACTCATCCTGTATCTGAGGGACCTTTACCTTATCTGAAGACTTCAGTTGGGCTTCAAACTGCTGCATTCT